CCTGATCCCTTGGTTGTCCCGGACATGGCATATAAATTAATAGGAAGTCAAGCTTTATTCTGTTGCCTGTGAAACAACCTGTTTCATACCATTTTTTGAATATTTTGTAATTATTTTTTTCTTATAATATGAGTGGTTTTGAATGATAGGCAAATGATGCAGTGATATACACTGAACACTTTTATACACAATTATTCTCATACCTCATTCTGAGCACTCATCTTACCATTTTGTATAAGCAAGCAGCTTCAAAAAAATGTTTAAGAACAAAGAAGGTGCAGCACAATAACAAGAAGAAATACCCTAGTCTGCATTGCTTTTTAGAAGAAAATCAGCACTACTGGTGAGATGAAATTAGCAAAAGTACAATGCAAAAATTAGATTTCATTTTTTCCTGTAATATATCTAATTGATTGTATAAAACAACTACCGATTAAACACATCTGGTATGGACTACGTTGTGTAAAACAACTATCAATAAACACATCTGGTATGGAGTAGGTATTCCTGGAAGGTTAAACTTATCAAAGAGAGAAAAAATGCGACTAAATTTATCAAATTCCAATAATAATATTAATGGCTTCATATTAATTAATGTAAATTTTTGCTTCGTTTTTTCAGGATTTTTCTTTGGTCATCTGTAAAACAGCTAAAATAAACAGGATTCACCAAGTCGTAAAGACTTTTGCCCATCTATCCATAAATAGCTTCCAGTTATTTTGAAATAAACTAGCTGAGAACTCAGTGCTGAGTTGAGAATATTTAATCAGTTTGATCTTCTCTGATGCTGAGAAGCCTGGATAAGTCAGATCTCCTTGTAAGGTGTTACCTATTTTAAAAGCTCTCTATGCAGTCAATGCAGAAAAGGCTCACCTTGAAGTAATCACTCTTCAAAGTTTATGTTCTGGTTTCTTCTCTCTTGCTTTAGTAGTTGTTATTAATATTTTGCATCACCACGTGACAAAAATACCAGTAATCACGTTTTTTAAGTGATATTAGGAAAAAATGCACTCTTTGTCATGAACAGTTTCTGTGTTGCTTAAAAAATGGGACTGTCTTTTTTAAAACAATAACAAAAAAATAGGCCTGATCAGCCGTATTTATGGTTTGATTTATTTCATCCACTTAAAACTTAACTTGTAGATCCAACACCATCTTGTGATCCAAGGAACAAAAATTATGACTGACAGGGTTTGATAAACCAGATCTTCTATAGAGGTAAAATAGGAAGGAGGCTCCTCAAAAATTTTTTTGACCATAAGCACACTCAGAATGATGTTAATTCAGTTGTTCATGGAGGAATAATGATGCATAACTGCAAATCTACAATGTATCAACTTTTTTTTTCCCCCTTGTTCCTTTTTTTTCTGAAGTGCAAATATGACTTTTGCTGGATATGCTTAGAAGAATGGAAGAAGCACAGCTCTTCCACTGGAGGCTACTATAGATGCACTCGCTATGAGGTTATTCAACATGTAGAGGAACAGTCCAAGGAGATGACAGTAGAGGTAATGAATGTGTGTGTTTGAAAAATAGAGCTAAGGCTGCAATTTTCTATTTAGGATAAGCTTCATCAGAATTCTTCCAAACCTGAGTTATAAATGGAAAAATACAACCTTAAATATATCAAAGAGACAGAAAGAAAACACTGCTCATTTGTGGGTAGAAACATAAGATTTGATTCTGCTTTTGGCTTTGGTAACAACCACTGGTGACTTTACCCAAGTCATTTTACTTCTGTGTGCCATGGTTTCCTTTTGTGAAAAGGGTGTGCTGGTACTGTAATTAGCTGCTGTGCACTACAGAAGACATGCCTTAATTTTGGCATCTGGAAAGTCTGCTTAAATAGCATGCACACACAGTGTGTCAACTATGGTATTTGCGGACTTGTGAATTTCAAAAATTACGTTTGTCTCTTTACTTACATGGCACTCATCAGCATTGTGTACAATACTTTATGTATAGTGGGAATAGAAACAGTTGGTTATGTAATTATATCTAATGGTGATTGCTAAATTAAATGATAAGATTTATCTTGGTTTCTTTTGTTTCCCCATTATTTTCCAGGCTGAAAAGAAGCACAGAAGATTTCAAGAGCTTGATAGGTTTATGCATTATTACACAAGATTTAAGAACCATGAACTTAGCTACCAGGTGCGGGTCAAGCCATTTTTACTGATTTTTGTTTCTATTTTATTAATCCAAAAATAATTATCTTATTGTATTTTATTTATTTTCTTTTTCTAGTTAGAACAGCGCCTTCTAAAAACAGCCAAAGAAAAGATGGAGCAGTTGAGTAGAGCTCTCAGTGGAAGTAAGTATTTGCTGTGATCTATGAATCTGATTTGAAATCAAATCAACTCTGTTATGGCTAAGCCTTTTTTTTTTTGGATAGAGCTCACATCAGTCTGCTGTGTGATGTGATCCCTCCAGTAATAGAATTCATAAGCAGTGGATGAAAGCTAAATGTACGGTAAATCTTATCTATTCCAAAGACTCAAGGAGAAAGTAGCATTAGTAAGGGAGAAGCTAATATTCTGTGCTGGCTTCTTAGAAACTGCTGCTGTTTACTTGCAAAATATTTAACTGACATGCACATAAATTTTATTTTGGAGGAAAACTCTTACACTAAAAGAAATGCTGA